AGTGTCCCGAACATATGAATGTAACATAAAGACATTGATTGATTGATTGATTGATTGATTGATTGATTGATTGATTGATTGATTGACAAAACTTATATACCACCTTATTAATGCACAACAGTATTCTTGGCATATAGAACAATGAATAAAATGCCTGAAAAATTGGCAGAACCCTAAAGGCATTGGAGCACTGGAGGAAAACTCAAAAGAGCTGCTGAAGATACTTCTCTTTTGAGAAGCCTTTGAAACTAGGAATAGAGGGGGCCAGATGTACCCCCACTGGGAGGCAATTCCAAAGAGATGGTGCCACCACAGAGAAGGCCAAAGCTCTTGTTCAAGATTTTCTGGCCTCCTTCAGTTGTAAATGGAAAATGAACCCAGTTATGGGAGAACCTGTCTCGAAAGACTGCACTAGCATCAATGCAGATTTTTTTGTTTGCGAGTAGAACAGCTCCGGCACCCAGTATTACTGCGAAGACTGGAGTAGAAGCTGATGTAAGTGACTGTCTATCCTGAGCTTGGGCTGGATACTATCTGCTTCCTGTGAAATGCTATATTTACACAAGCTACAAGGATTGTTCCAAAATGGTAGCCACAGGTGGAAAATTATGGAAAATACAGAATCTCTCCTCCTGTCTCAGGGTAATAATTGTGGAACAGGCAAAAGAATGATGCTGTACAGTAGACAGGATATGAGCAGAAGGCAGGCCCTGGTCCATCAATAGACTGTGGGCCAACTTCTTCTAGACCTTATGGTGCCTGCTGGTTCATGAGACACTTGCATGAATGCTGGAGCAGACAAGACAGACTATGTCCTGATGCAGCAAAAGAGTGAGGAACAAGTCTTCTGGTGCCTGCTGGTTCATGAGACACTTGCATGAATGCTGGAGCAGACAAGACAGACTATGTCCTGATGCAGCAAAAGAGTGAGGAACAAGTCAGACCACGGGTCCCTCTGGTTTAGTATACAGTACTGTCTACCTGTACAATAACTCTTTAGGACAGCATGGGGCCCTAGAATCCATCCCTGAAGAGCCAGACCTCCACCCACTCCCACCATCTCCACTCCTACTTCTTTCTTACAGAAAACAGAAAGAGCTCCCTTGCGCCTTCTAACTGCCCTGTTTTTAAAATGTAATATATTCTTCAGTGTCATGGGACACTAAGGGAGCTTCAAATCATAGCAAAATGACATCAGTGCCCCCTAGAGGAAATAAAGGGATTTTGGTCAAAGGTTTGTTTCCATATATATGTACACACATAGTGAGGGGAGTTTTCAGGTGTGCTTTATTTATTTCTTCTATTTATATCCTGCCTATCTGGTCATTGCAACAACTCTAGGCGGCTTACAAGACAAAATATGTGAATAAATATATAAAAAAGGAATTATTACACAATTAGACAATCCTACAAGATGGAGAACATACAAAAATAAATCACACTAGAGAAAGATGGGGAGAGAATAAGGAATTAACTGGAGGGAAGGCCTGCCTAAACATCCACATTTTTAATTGGTTTTTGAAAGTACCCAGCGAGGGAGCCGTGCGAATCTCCGGAGGCAGATTGTTCCAGAGGCGAGGAGCCACCGCTGAGAAGGCCCGGTTCCTTGTTTTTTCCTTCCAGGCCTCCCTCGGCATCAGGCTCCTCAGCCTCAGCTCCTGACTCACTCGAGTGACACAGGTAGAACTTGTTGGGAGTAAGTGTTCCCCCAAGTATCGAGGCCCTAAACCATTTAGGGCTTTATATGTAAGCATCAAGACTTTAAAGTCAACGCGGAACCAAATGGGCAGCCAATGCAATGTGGCCAAAATAGGAGAAATATGGTGGTATTTTCTCACTCCACTAAGGAGTCTGGCTGCTGCATTTGGAGTTTCCACGTCAACTTCAAAGGTGGCCCCATGTAGAGCGCATTACAGTGGTCTAATCTCGAGATTACGAGCGCATGAACCAAGGTAGTGAGCACCCCCGTATCGAGATAGGGTCGCAGGCAGGCTATCCGCCAAAGATGGAAAAAGGCGGTACGGACCACCGACGCCACCTGAGTCTCCATGGTGAGCGCCGGGTCCAGATGGATCCCCAGGCTGCAAAGCCCACTCTTTGCAGCAATGGTCACCCTCCCCAAATGAGAGAGTCACCCAAGCCAGCGATAGTGGGGGCACCCACCCTCACAACCTCCGTCTTGTCCGGGTTCAGCCTCAGCCCAGTTTCCTGCATCCATTGCAGTACAGCCCCCAGGCAGCGCTGAAGGGACAGGACAACATCACCTGCAGTTGGTGAAAAGGAGATGTAGAGTTGGGTATCATCAGCATATTGATGACACGATACTCCACATCCCCTGATGATCCCACCCAGCGGCCTCATATAGATATTAAACAGCATTGGGGAGATAATCGACCCCTGTGGAACCCCACAGTTGAGACTGCATGGGGCCGAGACGCTCTCCCCAAGCTGTACTCTCTGGGAATGGTCCTCCAAGAAGGAACGGAGTCAGGGGAGCACCAAGCCACCAATTCCCAACTCGGAGAGCCTCCCCAGGAGGATACCGTGGTCAACAGTATCAAAGGCCACCGAGATGTCGAGAAGGACCAACAGAGATATTTTACCCCGTCAGCCTCCCTCAACAGGTCATCATACAGGGTGACTAATGCTGTTTCTGTACCATGGCACGGCCTGAAGCCTGACTGAAATGGATCCAGGGCATCTGTTTCATCCAAAAGAGCCTGAAGCTGGTCAGCCACCACCCTCTCCACCCCTTTGCTAATGAAAGAAACATTGGTGACGAGCCTGTAATTGCCAATTTCGTCTGCTGCCAAATTAGGTTTCTTTCTTATGGGCCTAATGAGTGTCCCCTTGAGGGCAGGAGGAACCCTGCCCTCAAGGAAAGACCCATCAATTATTGCCGTGGCCCATTCTGTTGTTGTAGGCCTGGCTGCTTTGATTAGTCAGGCCGGGCAAGGGTCAAGGGAGGAGGTGGTGGCACGACAGTGATCAAGCGCTTTGTCCACAGTATCTGGCGTCACGGGCTGAAAGCGATCAAGGATCACCGGGCAAGACGGAGCGCTTGAGACTGCCTTTGGGAACCTGTGAGCTACCTGTGGCCAATCCTTCGTCTACATCGTTAGACAGAAGACTTTTTAGCCACTCCTCTTGGAGATGCCATGGGGTGCACATGGAATGTTCTGTTTGCGAATAAAATCTTCTATGACTCGCGTAGAGGTCTTCCCTAGTTTTTATGCCACCTAAGGGCCAAGGTTTACATTCGATTCAATGCACAGCATATACCTATACAGTATATTCATTTTAGCTCTTGAGTGGAGGTTATTATTGTAAACACAACACACAAGAAAGGCAGACATAATGTCTTGCCTCACTTATCATGACTAGAACTGACTCCACTTTTAAGGCACAGAAAACAAATGGCAACTTTCCCAATTACCCTTTCTTTGAAAGTCTTATGGCCCCAGAGAGCAATTCTAAGGTTATTATTTAATGTGGCTTTGGAGGGAAAAGATAATGCTGCATCCCCAACATGTGTGCTAGAAAAATGAACTAAACGCCACACATTTCGTGTAATATGTAGTCGAATCCTGAGAATGCCAATCCAGGATCATTTAAGAGAAAATGCTTATTTGTCCAGGAAATACAAAAGACATTGTTGCAACCATGGAGAGTCCATTAAAAAAAAAACACAGAACATTTAACAGTAGATAATTCAAGTTTAAAGTACTACTCTCCTAAAAAATACTTTCCATTAGCTTGGTCACAACCAGTGACAATGCTGGAAATAACAGAGGGAGATACAGAAAAATATTCACAGCCTTTCTATTTTAAGTCTTCCCACATTTTGAGCATTTGGAGAAATAATTGTAGAGAAGACCTAAGCTTTTATGAGCTTTTTCTACACAACAGCTTCATATTTACCATCTGGTACAATTTAGGTCAAATCTGTTGCTCTTTGATATAGCACTGAAGACCTGAATCTAATTAATATTCTGCATTGGTACACCAGCAGGTTTGCACAGGAGTGTACACTGGCTTTGCCACCAGTTGCCGAAATATGTCCAAATGACAATAAGTAACAAATATTTATTAAGTAGAATGGCTACTGAACTTTAGCCAGTAATATATTCTATAGTACACATGCCATAGCTGTTCTTAGTTCTTCACCAGTTAGAATTCATGGATCAACAAGATAACACTGGTTTTCAATAACTATAAGCCTTTTACAGAGGTCAGCTAAACGCACGTGGGGTAGGATTGTGATCTGCCCATACTTCCCACCTACACAGGGTCATTTGAAGTTACAAGAAACTAAGATAATACAGCTCTGTGCATGCAGGCTTTTTGCCTTGGATGATTTACTTAAGCTCATTTTCTGTCTTCCCACCAAGAAAAGGTGCCCAAGGCAGCTAAAGAAACAGTAGCTCAAATCATTGTCATTAGTGTAGTAAATCACACTAAAGTAGGTCCACTGTATCAGAGGATATTCAGTGATTCAACTCCTCCATTAGTCTCATTGATTCAAGTGGGCCTGGTCTAACTGGGACTTATTACTGTCATAAGTGTAGTAAATCACACTAAAGTACAGTAGGTCCACTGTATCAGAGGATATCCAGTGAGTCAACTTCTCCATTAGTCTCATTGATTTAAGTGGGCCTGGTCTAACTGGGACTTATTATGCTAAAGTAAGCTCCCATTAGAGTAGATCCATTTGAATAAATTGAACTTATGGAGTTGACTCACCAAATTGCCTCTAATTCAATGTGCTTACCCTAGTGTGATTTGCTACATTAAGCAAAAGGATTTTGGTCACTACAATATTCTATAAAGGATTCTAATTGCAAAGAGAAAAGCTCACATCTATACACTTGCATGGACAAAGTCTCTCTTTAGATCTTTAAAATAAGCAAGCACAGATCAGAGACTGGCAGCTGTCACCACCACACATTCCACATGCACACACTGAATGTACTCAGGATGTCTTTCAACCGTGCACCTACCATCACAGTTAGGTTTCCCCAAGGTATATCATATGCAGACACATTCTTGGACTGCCAGTATTGCAAAGTTTCATTGCTGGGATTGTCTGGCTCCACACAGCTGCATCTGAAAGGCATAATAAAATGCTTGATTTTTTAAAGTCAAAAATGGATAAAGCAGCATTAACAAATGTCCATGTCCTTGGTTGGTAACGGTAACATATGAATCTTTAAAAGTGCCTAGGTACCTTGAAGAGTTTTAAAAAAACAAAACCAAAAACAACAAAAAACATGGGGGAAAAGCACAAAAATTACAGCTTTTTCCATCAGAATAACAGAAGAAGGCACAGGACAAAGGATTTTCAGTTCTAGGAAACACCTCTGACAGTAGACAAATCCTCTGTCATCTCAAATATAGCAACCCTAGTTTTAAGCTTGGTTCTTGATTTTAAGACACGTTCCAAAAGGGATATGGTTAAGAGCTGGTTGGATAGCTCAGTAAATTAGGTTTCTGGCTGCGGAGTCAGAGGCTGGGAGTTCACTTCCCCACTGTGCATCCCAGAAGAGCCAGCTTGTATGGTTTTGGGCAAGCTGCAAAGTCCCAGGGAACCCCCACCCCAAAAAAGGGTCACTATAAGTAAAAATTGATTTGATGGTGCACAATTATTATTCATTAGGGTTTATATCTCAAGCCTAGAGATTGAGCAGCATATAGGAGAAATGACAGAGTCCAACTGCTGCTACATGCTGGAGAATGTTGAAGCAAAGGTCCTTATTCTATTTTTTAAAATGTGCAAACCATTCTCCAATCATGAACAGCTTTCTGCACTGCAGATACATTTGATTACACTAAAAAGTCTGGCCCCATCTTACTGAAATGCTTCATTGTACCATAACATAGATGATCATGAATGTACAGCACAATCCTATGCATGTTTAGTCGGAAATATCTCCCACTATGTTTAGTGAGACCTGCTTCCGGATAAATGAGCATACAGCCAACCTACTAGATGAAAAAGAGAAGGCTCCTATACCTGTAATAGTTACTGTACTTGGAAAAGGTAATTTCAGCAGATGCCCCCTAAATGCGAGATGCTGCTGCTGCTGCTGATGATGATGATCATCATGTGCCATCAAGCCAATTCTGACTTATGGCAACTCTTTTCAGGATTTTCTAGGTAAAGAATTCTGAGAAGTGATTTATTATTCCCTTCTTCTGGGGGCATCCTGTGACTACACAGGTTGGCTCTTTTGAGACGCACAATGGGGAACAGAACTCCCAACCTCTGGGTCTGCAGCCAGAAACCTAACTCACTGAGCTATCCAGCCAGCTGGTCCCTTTTCCTCCCCGCAACTATTAATTGGTTTATTTTACAATCAAGTTTTACATTAATGATACATTAAACACATATCCGCAGTTTGAGCTGTGATGCTATGTGCCAATAAATTGGGTGTGACTTCTGGATACCCTAATAGGAATTCCCAGGTATTTTTATTTAACTTATATGCTGCCCATACTACTTCATCACCCACAGTTCAGAAGTATACCAAGGAGCTGTCTGGGCTCTGCGTGCAGGGAGAGGGCGCTTAGGCGCAATCGTGTCAACCGCCTGGGTCATCTCCCTATTCCATAGGGTGACCTGAGCTTCGACAGGAGTGCCGACCATATCAGATGGATAATCCTCCAGAGCATTCAGGAAACCATCCGGATCCATTAGTCTCCATGGGGGGATCATTTTAGTAGATCCCCTACCCTTGCAGAGGGGAGAAGAAGCTAATAGACTAAACTTGACCAGGAAGTGGTCTGACCATGACAATGGAGTCACAACCAGCCCCTCCACATCCAAATCACCACCTTCCAGTCCCGTTGAGAAAACCAGGTCCAAGGTATGGCCCTTCTTATGTGTCGGGCCGATGATACATTGAGATAGTCCCATGGTTGTCATGGCGGCCATGAAGTCCTGAGCCGCCCCAATCAAGGCAGTCTCGGCATGGATGTTGAAGTCTCCCAGCACCAACAGCCTGGGAGTCCTCAACACCAGGTATGAGACTACCTCTGTCAACTCAGGCAGGGAGACTGTTGGTATGCAGCAGGGTGGGCGATACACGAATCGAATCCCCAATCTGTCTCGTAAGCCCAACACACATTACAGGCCCTCAAGACCTCCTCTCAAAAGGATAGGAAGCTTGGTCAAGGAGACAGAACTCCTATAGACCAGTGGTCCCCAACCCTGGGCATCCAGATGTTCTTGGACTACAACTCCCAGAAGCCTTTACCACCACCCCTGCTGGCCAGGATTTCTGGAAGTTGAAGTCCAAGAACATCTGGAGACCCAAGGTTGGGGACCATTGCTATACACTAGCAACTCGCCCTCCCTGACCCTCCGAGCGACATTGGTGCTGAACCGAGTCCCCAGGCGGACACAGCTGGGAGAGAGGAACACCACCCTCCTCTCCCACCCAGGTCTCAGTAATGCACGCCAGGTCAGCCCCCTCATCCAGAATTACTTCGTGGATGAGGGCAGTCTTATTTTGTACTGACCTGGCGTTCATCAACAGCACTGTGTGGCTCAAGGGTTTGCTAATATGGTCACCTGATACCATCTGGTTGGGGGTAGGACTAGAAGAGGGGATAGATGTAAGGTATCTAACCTTTCTTCTCCTACGTGGGCATGCTCTACCCCCACCGCCATTCCTTCCCCTACCCAGCACCACCTCAATGGTTGCCCCCTCCAACGCCCCCCCTTCTTGTTCTCTCAGATCCACAGTGGGTCTCTATGTACGTAACCTGATGGCAATTGATAATCACAATTTAAAAAAACCCTTCTAAAGCCTCTTCTCTCCCCCCCTCCAGCCAGATGACTGATGTTGAGGAGTGGGTGGGGCAGCCAGAGGCAGCAAGGGCCCAGTCCCGCAAGGTATGTGAAATGTTCAAGGAGTGTTTGGATCATTGTCATCCCCCAGGGAAAAATACCTTTAAAACACAAAGATCTTCTTGGTTTTGCCTTGTACTAATCTGCAATTCTTGACACTTATTTTGTATATGTTTAATAAGAAGAACGTCTCAACACAGATGACTCCCCTGCAAGGGGAGGGGGTCCAGTGAGAACTGGGGAGTGGTTTCCACCACTGCCTACTAAGATGTGTGCTCTCCTCCCCCTTACAGCCTTTTTTTATATATCTCAAAATCCCAAATTGGTTGATAGCTCTCTCCATTGTGCATGGATGGCTTCATTACACAGATGCATATTTTTTGGTCACAGCATTCTGCTGTCTTTTTAAATACAATAATAAAAAGCAACTATGAAGTAATTTTTGTATTGTGAAGAAGGAAAGAGTCACCCATTTAAAATGGTAAATGGAACAGTAGTTAACTATTTGGGGGGACCTTGTAACAGGAACTAATTCCTCTGTTAAAGTAACATTTCTGTAATGTAAGCAGATTCTACCAAACACTGCTGCTGCTGCATACTTTCTGTTCAGTCCACTTAGCTCAGCATGGAGCTTCCACAGAAGCCTAATTGAAATAAATGGTGGGTGAGCGACAGCAGCAGCAGCAACATCTGTTGGCTCACTGAATCCATTGACATGTTCAGCCGGAATGACATGTCACGACGACATGAACTTGGCATCTTAAATACCTCTGAGAGCGGAATATTATGCTCCTGATTCTTAAATACATGTCATGGACAGATTGCAATATGCATATTGCCATGCCAGAAGTGCTGAAAATTATTCAGTATAATCTGTTAATAATCAAGTGACTTCTGGTGAAGAAGTCTTCTCTTTTTTTTAATGTTAAAAAGCAGGAATTTGCCACTCTAGAAGTACAAAACAGCTCAGCCAAAGGGTGGGATGGGGTGGGAGCACATTCATTTATTTCTAGATTTTAAAGAGAGTATACATTTCGAACACCAAGAAACTAGCATAATTTAAAATGATTTTAGAGCCCTATTTTTAAGAAGGCAAATAGTTGTTTCTCACATAGCCCCAATCCAGTCAGCATATATGCTGCAAGCAAAGATGGGAGTTCCATTTCAAGCACAGAACAGTACCATACAAAACAAATATTTACAGGAGTTTATTCTACCACAGATTTTTTACAATTCACTTGGATGGAAAAAAATTATTGAGGAACAATGAAAAGATAGATTGGTAAAGAATGAAAGACAGTTGTCATAACAACCTATTTAACAGACAAGGACAAGGCAGGAAGAAAAAGGTCACCATAACAAGACAGAAGGCCAAATGGCAGGTTTTCCATCCTTGTCAAACAGAGTAAATGTTTATGTAACCTAGGGGCCTAGAGAGCTGATGCTGCATTTGTCCAACTTTTGATTTTTTTTTTTTAAGTGTTCATAATCACAGCAAAACAGCATAATGACTATCTTGGAACATGTTGTGCCTGACACCATTTTGTCCTTGGTCAAAATCCTGTTTACAAAACCAAGTGGTTCCATGACCTAAATATCTGACTAGAGGTGGGCACAAAGCATGACAAAGCACTTTGTGCAATGCTGTCAGCTTCCCACCCTCATATCCCACCTCCCCCACCCCCAGTCAGCTGGCCCACTCACCGTTCTTTGTGCCCTGCTGGGGTCCTTATTCTCCAATGGTGCTCCAATCTGGACAGGAGCTCATCCGGCCTGTCTCCACCTCCTCTGGCAGCTGACCACTCATCAGCTGCATGGGGAGAATCCCTGCCCTGCCTCCTCGTCTGAGTGGTCAGCTGCCAGAGAAGGTGGGGCCAGCCTGGCTGAGCTCCTGCCCAGACTGGAGCACTGCTGGAGAAGAAGGACCCCAGTGGTGTGTGAAGAACGGTGAGTGGGCCAGCTGGCTGGGTGTGTGTGTGTGTGAGAGAGATGGACTGGTACAGTACCTGACAGCTTCGTACAAAGCACTTTGTGCCCATCTCTATATCGGACTCATCAAATGTCCTCTCCCCCACAAAAAGCCCATTAAAACTGAAAAGAATGCTAGATATATGTTTCACAGCCCCTTATAACTGGCATCTGTTGGAACCAAGGGTGCCCTTCTGCACCTGTTGCTGCTATTACGGTTGTTTTATATAGCACAAGTCATGTGGAACAAAACCCAAAAATGTTCTCTTGCCTCTTATATTCTCCAAGTTCAATTCTGTGCAACATATCATGTGTTTGTACAACACAGAAAGCAAATATTTTCTACCCATTTGTGACTCTTTGGCTCCACGGCACGCTATATTAGATGGCCACTTATTCACAAATGCATAAGATAGGTGCTGAGTTCTACTTAGCAACAACTTATAGCTAACCATCAGTGGTGCAGTTTCATGCCTGTCTACTCAGAAATCACTCACTGAGCTCTATGGAGCTTCCTCCCAGGTGACTCATGCCGAAGACTGCAGCCCTAAGCTGCATTTCACTCTTCTGGTTTGCAAAACAGTTGGTATTCCAGTCTCTCCTAGCAGGCGCACAATAACCAAACAAACCTTTGACTATATGTATTTCAAGGGGCACAAATGAAGAATGCATATACCCAAAATTATGGACATTGGTTTTTCTTACTTGCTTTGCCTTTGTATGAATGGGTAACTCAGAGATATTACAGCAGAAAAATATATTTAGAACAAGACCAAATGAGCAAACGATTTACTGCTGGTGTTGTAAATCAAAGAGCATAACACAGAAACATTCGGATTCTGTCTCTGACAGGTGAGATCCAGACTTGTGTCTGGTGTCATCTTATAAATTCAAAGGACACATCAGACAATTTAACCTGATTTACTTGGTTGGAAATTAAATATAACAATTGTATGGGTACAATTCTTTTGTACAACAGCAACCCTGTTCTGATTTGGTTGTTGTGGGTTTTTTGGGCTTTGTGGGTTTTTCCATGGACAGAGTTCCTACTCCAGTCCTCTGAAGATGCTGGCCACGGAGACTGGTGAAACATCAGGAAGAACAACCTTCAGAACACGGCCAAAGAGCCTGAAGAACCCACAACAACCATTAGATCCTGGCCGTGAAAGCCTTCGCGAATACCTGCTCTGATTTGTTCAGGACACAAAAATAAAATAAACATATTGTATCCAAACTGTGTTGAAATGGCAGTATGCAGAATACTTGTCTCCTGCTAAACGGTCAAGAAAGGTAGTGGGACAGGGAGGAGCGACTTGCAGGCATAGATGTACAACAGGCAAAAGTAAGGAGTTACATAATCCAAGGCAATTATAATTTATAACATACGGGGACAGCATCTGAAAGGCACATGCCTTGTAGGGGATTTTGATGAAGTTCTGGCATTAATTGGCCAATACGGCAGCCCTATTTTAGGAGTGTTCTGACCTAAAAGGCTATCTGGAGGGACAATTACAACTTAAATGGGCCTCTTCAGAGTATCTGCTTTATATAAGGCAGCGAGGGAAAGGGGAAAATGCTATTTGTGAGGGCTGCCTTAAAGGACAGGTTATCCCTTCATACACATTTTAAAGGGGCAATATTTAAAAACACACACACTGGTATCTAACTTGGTTTTCATTTATTGTGAAACACACTAAAATCTCAAAAATGAAAGCAAGAAAACAAAATTTAGAAAAACATACACATTTGCTTCAGCAGAGTCAAATTAGGCTTTCCACAAAACTGCCCCTCCCAAACATTTTTGTTGAGTCATTGGGAGAGCCACCTGTGAAGAGACTAGTACGTTCTCTCAGCTGACTTTGGAAAAATATTTGTGGAGTTTAGCTCTGTGGCCTGCTAAATTCTCATTCATTTATGAATGCAAGAGTAATGGATTCTGTCTGTAGGGCATGTGTGGTAGATGAGTTGAACAGACAATCATTGGAAAAGATTAAAGCTGAGGACAATCAGCTCCGTGGCATGGGACCATGGTAAATGCTAGCTTTTTGGACTAAATTTTCTGGAATCCTGTTACCACTGTGGAATTCTGAGAGCTGTCGTCCAAACAAGTAACTTTTCCAGTCTCACTCCTGCATGTCTCAGAACCATCCAAAAATAGATTTTTGAGGGCACCCAAACTAGTAAGAATCCCTACATTCTTTCTGCCTGCAGGATCATCCAATCGGTAGTCTTCATGCTATGCTGGATCCAATTCAGTTGTCTTTACTTCCATAATTTACTGAACTACCAGTAAATTGTAAAGAAAAGAAACGTCATAGCAAATCTGGAACTGAGAATAGTTATAAAGAGCTGTAATTAGAATATTTTAGAAACTGAAATGTTCAATCCTTTGCAAGTTTATCTGGAAATAAGTTCCATTGTGTTCTGTAGCATTTGGCCCCTACATATGTTTACGATGCACTGTTATAGCTCAGTCAGTTGGAGCACTTGTATCTTCTGGCAGGAAGCATAAAATTAAGAATATTGACTATTCCAGCATAAAGAAGGTAAATGATAATAAAGTAGTGGGTAAGGATGGGGACTTGTCATTTGTCATTTCATTTACTTAGTTTTGTACTACAAATCTGAAAGTCTACACAAACTTGAATGGCTCTTTTTTGCTCCATCAAACTAAGATGGATGGTAATAAGCTAATGTTTTCTTTAAAGGCTCTTACAAATGGTAAAGCATTACTTCCACAATGAAAAGTTGTACACAGAGAGAGAGAGAGAGAGAGAGAAAGAGAGAGGTCAAAACAAGCACAGGTAAAACAAAGTGTTTGGGAGGCTCCACAGCTTAGTGCTTCAATTTCTCGCACTTCAGAGAGCATGTCCTAAGGAAGATTCCAGCCTGAGAACATGAGGAGATGCTATCAGCCTGAGTAGATGGAACAGGCTGAGAAGATGGGAGGCAGAGACTGCATAAACTTACTTTTTTCAAAGTATGGTTCCAAGGATCTGCCAGCAGGAGACGCCCTGGGACTATATGCTGTCCCCCCTACACTGTTTTGCAGTCCCCAAATGCATCAGATTTCCTATCAAAGTAGGTATCTTCAAAAAAAGAGGGAGGGAAGTCTCCCAGGATAGTAATTTGCCTTTTAAAGAAGTTACAGCACACCCTGTAGTACTTAACAAGAAAAAGTTGTAGAAGGGTTTGCCATGTTAGTTTGTGCAAGCAGTATAAGTAAAAACAAAATAGGAAAAAAACAAAAACAGATAAAATACAGTGGCACCTTAAAGACTAGATTTTGTATTTTTTAAATGTGAGCTTTCACGACAAGTCTATGTCAGATGAAGTGGACTTGTCCATGAAAGCTCACATTTTTTAAAAAATTGTCTTTAAGGTGCCACTATGTTTTTGTCTTTTTTAACTTTTTATTTCTATTTTGCTTTCACCTATAACAAAACATTTCTTTTTTTTTCTTTTTTCAAAAGCGGCAGTTGGCTCCTTGACATTTTTGTATTTTTCAGTGATCCACACAGCCTCCAAAGGATCCCAGGGACAGAAAATGATTCTCTGGATATGTAGACATTGCCCATTCCTGCTGTAGACGCTCTTCCTTAACACACTTGAAGCAGTAGTAAATTGTGGAAGTAAAGGGGCAATCAAGACTATGACTCTGAATGTACATGTAGCTTGTTCAGATGAAAGCAGTTTGCCGGATTAACTCACCGTGAGGCAACTGGACAACCAGTGAAGGTGTAGTGATAGTGGTGGCCTTGTCCTTCTCTGGCTTTTTCAGGACTTGGCTTTCAGCTGCTATTTAAGGACAGGAACTCCACAAACTAAGGGTTCATGTGAGTTGAATACATCCATTAAAACTGTATCTGGAGGGGTTTTCTACTCTTCTCTGACTTGTCTCTATTGCTGAAGAGATGCTGACCATCTCTGTGCCTCGGGCTGGAATGGAATCTTTTCTTTACCCATGAGAATATTTCTGTTTTCACATAATGTGAGCTCAGCTCACTTCAATCCATCTGTGGCTTCATAAATTTAACAGTGGAACACAAGCCCTTAGAGCATTTACATTTCTGATCAAATTGTTTCAAATGGCAGGATACCTCAGTAAGTCAGAGTTAGAGAAAGCCTATTTGGATCAATGGAACTTATGAAGGATTTGACTCAGGTTCACCTTTCAGAGTACAAATTGTTTCAAATGAGAGGATATCTCAGTAAGTCAGAGAAAGCCTATTTGGATCATTGGAACTTATGAAGGATTTGACTCACTGAATATTCATTGATATAATTAGCTTATTCTAGTGTGATTTACCAAGTTAAGCAACAGGATGTGGTCCAATGTAATCAGGCACTTTTAACATGCAAAAAAAAGTACACTGTGATGTGAATTGCTATGCAAATTACTGCAAAATGATTAGACTTTTAGCACACCAGGGGCTGGATCCTGACTAAGTTTGCTAAACAGCCCCAAGGAAATAAATCACACAAATTACTCAATATTCACTTGATTTCAATGGTAATCAAGTGAAACTAAATTAGGGCTTGATGGACCTTTGGTCTCATTGGTGTGTGTGTGTGTCTGTTGTGTTTCTGTCTCAGTAAAAGTCAATTGAATGAACTCTATAGCTTATATTCTGCATCATCATGAAAAAGCAAAGCTAGTCTCACAGTATTTGAAACAGGAAGTGGAATGCTATGAAATTAATCTAAAAGTCCAAAAACAAATATTGTAGCTGTGTTTTGGTGGGTAGAGGCAATACTGCAACTCCTCTGATTATTAATCAAGCCCACCCTTTACAGTTACATGGATGAAGGAACATCTTGCTTTAGACCTGCTATTTGTATCAGATAGATAGATAGAAGGAGGAGGGGCAAAAATGTGTAAACAGGAAAGTCATTTTCCTAAAAGGCACTCATCTCCCATTTTCACACCGCAGGGGCCCTTGGCAGGGAAATTCTCCCCATCCCTTGACTAAGCAATGAAATCACACTTACGAATACTGTGTCAGTCGTTCCAAATTATTATGCATATCGATCGGATATGTCTCGCTGAGATGAAAGAGCTTTTCTAAGGCCTCATAAATGAAAATGATGCAGATAAGGGATGCAAAGGCTTCTTCCGTAAACCGAGTAATGTAGCACACTAAGGAGCTGGCATCAGTTGCCACAAGAATGATGCACAGAATGGCAGTCCACAAGCCAATGCTTGCTCTCAAAGAAAGGTAAGACAGTCCATAATCCCTGTAAACACATGGGGGGGGGGAAGAGAGAGAAATAAATGTTTACAATAGCCAAGTAAAACTCACAGATACTTTAAGTTCCATGCTGTCTCCAGAAAATACATTAATCCCCCTAATACTGTTTCGGGGACGGGGGGGGGGAATGGGACACAGCAGAGACACTAGCTGTCAGTGTCATGCCATGAACTTCATTTCAGTTGTAAGGCTCTGACTAGATGCCATGGCTTAGGAAATTTATTTTATTTATTTATTTAACTTATATCCCACCCATTTAGACCGAAGTCTACTCTGGGTGGCTAACAACAATATTAAAATAAAATAAAACAACACTATTAATACAGTAGAGGAATGTGATAAAGTGATAAAGGTGATCTAGCGCTAATCTTATATAGGGCTGCAAGGATAGGTGGGCGGGGCCAGAAGTAGATATGGGTGGTTGCTTCTCATGTAGATTCCTGGAAGGACTGATTCTAATACAAATATAAATGGTGCTCATATCATAGGCCTACAAATCTCATCATTCTTAACTGATGGCTCAGGGTCAATCTGGTTTAGCCCAGACAAATTTTGTAATCCAGAGTAACAGCTGATACCAACGAATTATTATATATCCATTTTAAAAATGAAGGCGGAAAAAATATATATGTCATCTTTTAGGTTTGGTGAATTGTCAAGGTCTCACACAGTGCAAGACAGAAACACACACACACACACACACACACACACACAAACCCCAAGCCTGAAGGAAGTTAGAAATATAAACATCAAAGTTCACTTACTTGCAAAATTTGAATAATATCTTTTCAAACACCAAAACTGGTCCTGTGCTACCTAGGATGGTAAGAGGCTGCCCACCAAAGAGTGAGTAGGCAATCCCAGTCATAGATGCACCAAACAAAGATTCTATTGCACTCTGCAGATTAAAAAGAAAAAAAAAAGGGGGGGGAAGGGAGGTTAGATCAACTATTTTGGTATCAAGACAACTGAGGAAAAGTTTTGGGTTTTTTAAATAAAGGGATCATTCAGATGCTGTTCTGAATACACCATTCATACTTAGAAAATTCCAATAAAACTAAGACCAATCAAAAGCAAAATAAAAGCCATTAAAGTACAACACATACTATACGACCTTCCGTTGCTTCTCCCAGGAGACCTCCGAATGTGATAACTGGAGACATGCAAGCGCAGTAGAGAAACAGAAACGACGCTAGACACTGCAAACTGAATGCATCTGTGAAGTCACTCAGAAAGAACGGGGCTTTCCTCTTGATATCCAAAATCAAGCCCCCAAAAAGCCTATTAAAAGGAAAAAAATAAAATAAAAAGAATCATAGAAGTCAGATTTAAACCAAAGCCCACTGATTAATTTGTAAACATAAAAGTACCCACTATTCTTACCAAGTACAATTTAAAAATAACTGTTTGAATGTGTTCCTTGTATTTTCTTCTGTAATAAAATATGATACTTATCAGACCTTGCTAAACTATCTTCATGCGCTTCTATCTGCAAAGTGTTGGATTGCACTTTCCCACAAACACCATTGGCATGTTGACAGCCTTAACGAAAACATTAGCTGTGTTTAAAAGGGCCTTTTGTTATACTGTGGCTGATGCACCACATAAGAAAATCTGGAACTCTCAGCCTGCTCCTAGGTGGCAAATAAAAATATCCCCACCATGATTCTTGGAGGACAGTAGTGGGCACGCACACATGCACCAAGCCAATGTGGTCCCTCCTTCTCAAGAATCAAAGTGAGTGCTAGGAAGGGACTGAAAGCTATTCATTTTCACATGTCTTTGCAGAAGAACAAGATTTCAGCTTGTGCAACTAAGAATATAATTCTCTCAGCTTTCAGTGAGAACTTTGGTGAATTGTCTTCATAAGTGTTGTGATCAACCACCTTCATTTCCAGTAGACACAGTAATTGGAAGAATAATTTTAGAAATATATTTTCAAGCCAACCGTTTGAGCCTTTTGTTAATTATAAACAAGCGATCATATGAGTATACACTCATCAAGAGACAACAAGATAAAATGAGTGACCCATACACTTTTCTTTGGCTTCTTGCAACTAATTATATTGCTCAGATTGCACCTCGATGCTATAGCTTCCACATGTCATTAATGGTTGAAACAGCTATCAAACTAGTGTAAAACTATCAGAGGAAAGGAAAGAGGATGATCTTATTCAGGTCCCCATGGATTAAGAGGGGGTTATGACACCAAATGTGAATGCACACGATTTGGGCAGCCTGCTTCTATGGCCCCATTTTTATCCCTCACAGACTCACTACAAGTCTCAATGTGTCAAATTGTTCATCAAATTGTTGATGGACAATTTGCTAGTATTTGCCAGTATTTTTCACATCCTTACTCTGAGTCCGCATCTCAGCACAAACTGAAGTTTGTATCAACCCCAGAGATTTCATAATATCTGCAGAAACATGCATCTATGCTTCTTACTCACTTTCCAGTACGTTGTAATTCCGGTCCTGAATGTCCTCCAATTGGTGCTTGCTCTCCATGAGCAGCAGTTCCATTTGGCACACCTGGAATCTTACGTTTCTCCTACATTAAATAAAGAAGTGCTTTGTTTATGGGTTGCATTCCACTCCCCCTCCCCATTCAAAATTATTCACTGGAAAAAGAAGCTGCTAAGGACAGCAAGCTGTTCATGCTTCTAGGTTTGTTTTTCAGTTTTCCTCTATAAATAATTGAAATTACTCAGTGGTTTCTACTCTGCGAGGTTATGTCAAACTTAGCTTGAAAAGAACAAGGACAAGAGCCTGCTTATCAGTTGATAATGTTCTTTTCAGCTTTAGCAGCAGCTCTGCTTCAAGAAAAGTGCCAGTAATAGTTGGTATATTGGGATTTAAGAAATAAAAGAAGATTGCAGTTATGGCAGCTTTCCTCCATTGTGCCAAAGTATTCCTAGCCCATAGGCCATGTACATTTTAGGAGCAAACCACAGTTTAGTAGTTGACAAGGCATAATAAATACAGGCAGAGGTAGAATGTAGCCATCTTGTTGACTTGCCTACTAAGGGCCCCATGACATGTTATCATTACAGATCCAATGCTATCAACTCTATATCTCCTTCTGTGTTGGCCCAGTAACAGTTAGAAGATGTATAACATGACTTCATTGTCTTTAATGTTTCACTGAACCCCACAGACTGAGAAATGGACTGGAACTGGGATACAGAAACACTGAGACCAAAATCCTATTGATTATTTAAATATATTTAAGAGAAAACATGAAAGTCACCAGAACTTATGACAAGATACCAATTGTATGTTCGTCATATGCCTGGCCATGCACTTGACCATATTCTGACTGTTGATGTCTGCATTTTCTCTTAGGCATGCATAAATAACCAACAGGATTTTGGCCTCAGTATTTCCGGTCCCCATCAGCTACATGTTTTAGGCAATGGGGCTCCAAGATATCACAGAAAAACCTGTTACAGATTACAGTGGGCTGCAAAAGACTTTACCAATAGCTTACATGCTGTTAGGCCACTGTCACTTCACAAACATGAGGCTGAGCTATTGGGGATTCATTAAAATATTACAATTATCATTGTAGTCAGGCCTGTTTACAGTCACTGGTAAAAAGTCTATGGTAAAATCCCATATGGTTCCAACATGAGAATCGATCCATGAATTAAAAGTGGCAAAGCCAGTGACAAGTAATCATTGCCCACCAGATGTTATTGGAGTGCAATTCTTCTCAGCCATAGCTAGCACAATCAACAGTGAGGGAGGATGGGAGCTGCACTCCAACAATATCTGGATGGCCATGTATTCTTGTGATATACCAGAATGTATGCTACAGACGGACATGGCTCTAAATGATTTATCAATCTACACTCCCACTAAACTCATTTGATTTACCATTTAATAATTCTCATTGCTGTCAATTGTTAAGATCTTGTCAGCTTTGCAAGTTAAAACCTTTGTCAACTGTTTAAGACCCAGTCACAACCCCACACAAGTGAAATGTACACCTACCTGAGAAGGAATATTTTTAGGGGGCTCTATACGAATGGCTGGGTCCCACTCTCCAGGAGGAAGGACTGTCACTTGATCAAGAAACTCATCAATCCCAGCAAGCAAGTCATTACGATCTTTAGCTTTATAAGCAACATCGTGAAACACCTTGTGAGAGAAAAAAGAAAATACATGTGATTTTGCTGATAAGGAAAATCTATGAAACATCACACATGGCTTCTGTTCGACAAAGCATGCAATTTATTTTGCACTAAACTTCAATTTAATGAAACAAAAAATTATCTTCAGTACACTGGATTTTGCGTCTGGATTTATTTGGTTGTTTCTGTGAAATGTTTTAGGGATTGACTTAAACAGAACATACCATGTACTTTCCAAACTGTAAGCAAAGCATACATTTAGAGGCAAATTTAAATCTCAAAACAAGGAGGAGAGTTTATAACAGGTTCCTAAAAATAAGTTTGAATCAACTGTTATTAACAAATGAATACCTCATCTGTCATTAATGTTCCAATAGACCTGCCAATCTCATGGTACTGTTGACCTTTTCCTAGGGGTCCCAGAAGAATAAATAAAAATCTACAAATGAATGGGAAAAAGAAATATTCAAAGAATATTAGTTTTACACACCTCTAACATTTGAACAATAAATAATGTATGGGGGGAGGTATGTTTTATACACAGAATTAAGAATCCACATTCTCTGTTCTTGCATCTTTATTCCAGGATAAGGGGGCAATACCCTTTGAAGGTTTGCTCTTGGCTTTCCATACTCCACGTAAAAAACTGACAGACAAGGTAATTGTTGGATTATTTACATGCTAGATGATTCTCCACTAATCATGAATAGTGAATCCCTTTCTTTAAAGGGTTCAAGGTAGCACTGCTGGAGAATTTCTTCTAATTTGTATTTTTAACTAAACTGAATTGATTTGCACTTTCTGAACTAGCCTGTGGATCAAAGCCCAGTTATCATTTGCGTTATAGCACTTTTGCTGTAGAGTTCATGACTGAGAAACAGAATTCAAAAAATGTGTATACTAAAGAAAGATGCAGATGAAAATGCATACAGTAGGCAAAGATGTGCATTAAAATAACTGTGATAGGGCACTTGAAAACACTGCAGAAACATGGGGAAACTGAATGTAATGCAGGAGAAACTGATAAAAGACTCAGTATAGACTGCCATGCATATCTCTAGTTAAAGGGGCAAATAGCCTTGAGATTTCCTGATTTGAATATAAAATCTCATGCACAAATATGTAAAAAACCATGGGAGGGATAAAGGTAGGCTTGAAAACAGCTCCCCATTTTATTGGAAGCTAGGAAAGCGCTGCAAATACCCCAAGCAATTCTATACAGTTTGTGATGGTATATTCTTCCATGCTGAAGTTATCTGTACCCTTTAATACCTGCCCCTGGTGGAGTATGTTTTAAATCTCATCTCACATGCAATATTTTGTGTGTGTAGGGGCACAACATGCATTTCAGGGAATTGTTATCCAAATGGCCACAGATGTTTTCATTTTAGCCATATGCAGCAGCATGGATAGTGTTCAACCTGTGTCTTGAGTTTGTACCCACTAATGGTGACCATGGCAAATACAGATATCAAAATAACCTTTTTGGGATAGGTGTTCACTACTCCTATGCTGGTCTGGCTCCCACCAACTCACCTGCTTCTTCTTCCTCTTCTTTCCCTCTCTCCATTTAGCGGCAGAATTTAAACCAGCTTTGCTAACTTGTATTTCTTTTTCAGTCTGCAGTACAAATTACCTTGTTGGAATAGGAACTTCTGCTAGTCCTGAAAGCAGCACGGCAGGAGACAGCCTGACAAAAGCAACTACAGCACGTTCCAAGAATTCAAGCTCACCAACCAAAATGTTTGAAGCTTCAGCTCCAGGAGGAATCTTTTTCATGAAATGCAGGTCAACCTGATCATTTAAAGGAGAAGAAAATCACACCGGAGAAAAAGTAGCAGCAGCTACACAGTAAATTGCAAGAGAAAGATATTAAAAGATACGAAGACCTTTAACATTCCATTTTACTGACACATTTAGCATCATTATATCATGTATCACTAACTCTGATAAAAAAATTAGAAATCACAGATATTTATTAGTAAGGTTATAAGGTCTAATAGGGGTCTCAAACTGTGGCCCTCCAGATGTTCTTGGACTTCAACTCCCAGAAATCCTGGCCAGCAGAGGTGGTGCTGAAGGCTTCTGGGAGCTGTAGGCTAAGAACATCTGGAGGGCCACAGTTTGAGATCCCTGGAAGGGGATATATTGTAGCCACAAAGGTGTCTACTGAAAGACAGCTTGGCACTACAAGTGTATTGTGGAAAATGTACTTGTGTTTCTTGGGTCCTGCTGGCATCAAAAAGAGACAAGTGTGCTTACATGCTGTGTAATTATGCATAAGGTCAATTGAAATGGGACTTAAGTTTGGTATTATTACTTTCCATGGATATTAAGCATAACTTATTTTTAAAATCAGGACTGTATCTCAAGGATTGGCTTAATGGAGAAACATAAAACAGTTAGTTCAACTTTCTTTTAAAAAATAAAAGTCAGATCATTAATTCTTGCCTTATAACTGATGGGGCTTCTCACCACCCCCACCCCCACCCCCGGCAAAAGAAAACAGTAGGTGTGTCTTTGAACTATTAAGTTACCACATGAAGGAAGGTATTAATCATTCCTCAGGATTCCCAAAAACCTATGCGCAAGATTAATAGAGAAATTAATTGGTTAATTAATCAGCCAAAAAAATCTTGAACAGCGGATATCCCTAGGAGTAAACTTTTGTCTAGGAAAAGGTGGCTAGTAGCCATGTTGTGCTGAAAAACTCTAATTCTAAAATAATTTGTTCTATAGCACAAACTGCCCAAATTGTATACAAGATCTCTCCTGGTCTAACCATGTGGGCCACAATCAAGCAGAAATGTATGCATGTTCAACATCACTGCAGGGACCAGCACTACAAGCTATAGGACTCCAGTAGCAAATTGGGAGGTATTGTAGTTGCATGCCTTCATATCTGCTGCCAGCACATCCACTGAGGCCACGTGCATCAAGGCATGGCCAACTAGTGGGTGATGTGGTCACAGATCACACCTTACTATCAGGACAAGAGTTCTTCTTCAGAGATGTAAGTTGCATCTGAATTAATAGCAATAATTTAAAAGTAAATGACCTGGGGATTTGAGTTGTGCGAATTGAAACAATAAAATGTCACAACCAATTTCAATATCAACTGCCAACTGCACTATGAAAAATAGCACAAAATAGCAGAGAGCTTTACTTATACCATAATATAACGTGACTCAGAGTGATCTTATACATGTTGTCGTTGTTGTTGCTGCTGCTGATTTTTATGTGCCATCCGTTCATATCAAACTTATGCAGAGCCTAATAGGGTTTCCAAAGTATGTGAGTAGCTTCACAGGCACCACCGTGCAATGAGTTTTCCATGCAGGTCTCCTAGGCTCTTACCAGTGGCTTCTAATATATTTTTAGCCACCATCCTTCCCCAAACTGCTACTCTTATTTGACTTAGATGACAATTCCCATCAACTCTAACCAGTGGTATTGGCCCCAGTGGATGGGTATGATGGAACTGCCACCCAACATATGTGGGGGATTATCACGTTGAGGAAAGATGGTCTATGACTTTCAGCAGAACAGCCTAAAAAGTTCCCAACAGGTGGAGCTGGGCTGCTTTCACATTGCCAAGGCATAAGGCGTAGTTATGCTCTCAGTAGAATATAGTGGCCATATGCCTTTGCAAACATGGGAAGCTGCCAGTATTCCATTATCTTTTGTCACAAAGCATGAATAGAATCAGGTCTAGAAAAGAATTTTTCACCTACGTAATCTAAGATGGCAAACCGTAAACAGAACTCCGTAACTGGCACGTTGTGAAGAATAATCAAACTAAGGCATGGAATAGCTTAAGAGCACCTTTTTATCCAAGAACAGTGTCTAGAAAAACAATATTGTAACTATGCAGGTGGGGCATAAGAGGGACTGTCACTGGAGAAATTGAGAAAAACAGCAGAGCCACCTTTCCGTAGACAGCAAGGCAAAAATTATTAATATCACAGGAATAGCTTTATTTTTTCTTTTATGCAGTCATAACTATGGTGGGATACACTAAGTACCAGTCCAATACAGTACTATGGTTTCATGATAGTCCATAGCTGCTGAACAATGTTGTGTAACCAATAGAACTTTTAAGGTGAATGAAATGCAGAGTTCTAACTGAACATGATCTTATAAGCATACAGACATGTGAGTAGCTTCACAGGCACCACCGTGCAATGTCAACTAGGCATTAGACATATCCATGAACTTTGGTCCAAACTTTTAAACTATGCAAAGTTACAAAAATAAGGTTGTATTTAATATATATATCTTAGAACAGCTACCATTTTAATTATAATAGAACCAATGTCAATCCATGAGTTTTTCAAATTCATGCCCCTCAGAAGAATGTAGTTCTAGAGTAAGCACTGAAGCATAGCAATTGTGTAAAATAATTTAAAGGCTTTTATTTTATTTTTCTCTTTGATCTGTGCCATTTTTGTACCGCCTGGTTTCCATAAACATATTTTATTTGCATTCTTCCCATAATACCTTTCTAAATGTTGTGAAGAAGAAAATACACTGAATCACAAAACATGTTCAAATTGATATCACAGCTTCCTATTCTGAGAATTTCAAATTGCACTACTCTTCTGCATTTGCTTTCTTATTACCAAACTAAACACAAAAACAGTGACCAAATCCAATATAAACTGTTAAAGTGACCATTTTAATGTCTCTCTCACAGCCATCTGTCAGCAGCCGCGTGCACTGTCTTCAGTCATGTTTACAAAGTTGTTTTCTTGCAAACGGCTCTGGCACATAGACAGAATCTAAGCATAATGGAGTTGTCTGTGTCATGAAAACTCTCTCAAAAACTTTAACATCTCCAAAAATTCAGCCCAAACAAAGCCCCTTTTCGCTGTTCTGCCATCTCATTTCCATATTCCTTATGGGAAAATAATTTTAAGCTTACATATTGATCCAATACCAAGAAATTATCACTGATCGCTTGAAACATAGCAGTACTTTTGAGGATGGGATACACCACAGATGGAGGATAGCATATGTACATGTTTGGAATAGATTTAGAGTGACTTTTGATTGAAAGATTGTAATTGAAGCCTCATGCACTGTGGTGAAAAGGAAGCCATGTCAGTGTATTTTTTAAAAAATGTATTTATTTATTTAAGAAGAGTTCTCATGTATGTGTGTAAAAAAAATTTTTTTTCTTCCCCACTATTTCTGCAGTTCAAGAGAACTGACAATTCTTGGCAACTGTGGTGGGAGATAACAAAGCATATGCACTGTAGAAGTAGGTAGTGCTACTCTTTATTGTGCTTTTGTGCAGAACTGCTTCTGTGGAGATGGTCACTGACCTGAGATACTATAGAACGGGAAAGCCAGGAGTCTGGAGGCAATACAGCATGACATAATGTGTGCATGTGGCCAGTGAGTGACTCTTTCATACCGCCTGTGAAGGGCTTTGGATACAAGAGAAAACACTGCCTCTGACATGGACCTGCAGCACATCCTGCACCAATCCAGAAACAGCTGACCAGGAAATGAGGGCAGAAATGGATGTTCCAGATAGCCCTTTCTTAGAGCTGAAAGCATAGTAGCATTGGTGAGATACAGACAGTCCTAGTTAGATGTTAATAGGAGGGAGCACCCACCATACATTCTTCTGCTGATTACTCACCATGCACCCCTTTCCCCTCTGCCTCTGGTTTCATCATCCTGAATGCCTGGTGGGCAATGGTCTGAACTGGAGAGCTTTCACTATCCATGGCGGTTCTCCACACAAATCAGAAATCTCAGTGCTCCAACGCCATGGAGACACCACATGGATAATAGAGGCTGGCCTCTTCAAACCCCCATGCATGCAAGACAACAGAAGTGAGGACTGCAGGTGGTGGAGAAGAATGCTCCTCCTTAAATGCACAGAGAGTGCTTGCTAATAGACATGTACCATTCTTTTATTATACAGAGTGGGGGTTTTTTAGACTCCAAATCCCAGAATTCTCTAAGCACACGCCTGTAGATACAATTTCACTCGCCTAGAAAAGGCTAAGGCTTCCTTTTAGGCCAGTGGTTCTTAACCTTTGTTACTCGGATGTTTTTGAACTGCAACTCCCAGAAACCCCAGCCAGCACAGTTGGTGGTGAAGGCTTCTGGGAGTTGCAGTCCAAAAATCCTGAGTAACCCAAGGTTAAGAACCAGTGTTTTAGGCCTTCTTTGCTGTTGGAATGCTCCCCTGAGGTGCCCTCCTATAAATGGCAACAAAACTGCCACCCTCAGGAAGCAATGCAGCAACTTCCTGCCAGGAAGCACTGCAGCACAAAATAAGGCTTAGAACGAGGCCTTAGCTTTTTCCAAGTGAGTGAAATGAAGGCATTTGCAGGCATATGCTTGTGGACTGGAAGCCCCAGAATTCTGCCTTGAGAATTCTAAGATTTGGAATTATAAAAACCGGCCAAAAATGCATGGCACATCCCTATTTCCTATTAACTCCTGAACGAGGCTACTGAGGCAGCCTTTCACATTTGATAAATCAGACTCCGGGCTGAAGTCCTGAAGGCCAATCACAAACACACTCACAGAAGCACAAAGTAAGCACCTTCCTGGAAATGAAAAAGCCCCTGCACAGGTGCTCTCACACAATCAGACTTTAAAGGGTTTCTTCTGATTATCATGGGCTACTGGCAACATTTGTTTCTGCCCTCAGGGAATATTGGCCGCTAAACATGATGTATGTACAAGTGAATGGCTTCTAGTGGTCCTTTAAGCACACAGATGTGGAAGCCCAAGTGAGAATGTAGATTTTCTAGTAATAAATAATTCTCAGCAAGGAAAATTTCTCATTCTTCACCAGATAAGGTTTGGTTGCTATAACCACCCAAACCTGCTCTTTCAACTGTTTAGAAAGCTGTAAGTTGCTATCCACGTACCATCTTTTAAAGTCAAACACAGACTTTGTTTATAATGGGAGGCAACTAGGGCTTCTTTATTTTATTTTCTTTCACTTTTGCAAAGATTTATTTCTTTTCGTTTTATTTGCCTTCCTTTTGGGGAAGCTACATACATAGCATCCTCTCTTCTATTTTATCATCATAACACTGTAACCCTATGAAGGTAGCTTTGTTATAGCTTGGTGAGGATTTAAACCTAGGCCTTCCCAGTCTGAGGCACCTACTACTGTCATGCATTGGCTTATTTTTCCCACTGCCCCTTCTATTTTCTAAAGTGCGTGTCTATGACTGCACCATATATGGATACTAAGGGTTTTTTAAAAGTTTTGGCACCAGTTTTAAAGAGAAAATAAAGCAATAGCTTCTTTCTATGTCTTCTTTTACCACTAACATGTCAGAATCATCCACACTTCAATAGCTTTGTTTTAACAAGGCCCTATGGGATTCATTTTTTTTGGATTTGTGTTCAGTTAGTATCTTTCAGCCTATAACTCTGTCTCTGCTTACCTGCTCATAATCCCCTCTGAATTCAAACAGACATTGTACAGGACTGAGATAAAGTAATATTACGGGAGAGTATATGTGGAAAGATCAAAACTGCTGTTTCTCCAAAATGCTTAAAAATCTTATGTTCCCAGCCTCTCCCTTACACATTTATTGATATGTTTAAAGTGTCTGATGCTAGCTTCCATAACAGGTGAAGGGTCCCGAATCCATCATGTTGTTTAATGTCCGATTCATGCACATTCATCCACAGCAGACTTTTCCTGACCTGGCATCCTCCGCACGTATTGGCTTATGACTGCTATCATCTCCTACCACTGGTGGTGATGGAAGCTGGAAGCTGGTGCCATGTTGGGGAAGGCAGCTGTAGAGATTTGGCCTCGTGCACTGACATAGCATAGAGGTGAACTGGTACTAACATTTAGAAATAGAATCTGCTTGCAATCACTGTAGAAAGATAGCCAGAGTACGTCCTCACCTCTCTCTCTCTCTCCTCCTGATGCAGGTGTCCTTTTTCATGTCTTTGTTTCATCCCAAATAGACTACTGTTATGCCCTTTTTGTTGGTCTCCTAGTCCCTGCACGCACAATTAACAGACTTCAGCTGGTACAAAACACTGCTCCTTGCATTCTGTCTGGCACCAGATGGAGCAAGCACATAACTAGTGTGGTCTCAGTTACACTTGCTGACTGGATGTCACATTCAACAACAGATTCAAAACACTGCTTGCATCGATTCCCTTAGAAGAGAATTTTGGTTAAAGATATATCTGCTCGGTTCTTATTTAGCCCAAAGAGGTTCCTTGGAGGTCATCTGCCACAGCTATAGCTGTCAAACCTACATCCAAAGCAAACATGCTTTAGCGATACAGCAGCCTTCAGACAATGTTCATTCCAATGATGCTGCAGATATTCCTAGTTAAATGCTAAACCTCCTTTTTTCCTCTAGCATTCTTTCTTCAGTCATGCTCTTATGCACATTTCGCAAAGAGTAATTAATTGTCACAGCATAGCATGAGTGACAGAATTTAGTACATGGGTTAAAAATATATTCTAAAATTATTTTGTGGTCTGCTTGTGGGCAAGCATGGAGGATATCAGATTAAAATCTGATGCATAACATTGTAAGGAAAAACACACACACACAGGTGCAATCCACAGTCCATTTACTCCAAAGGCAATAGAACTGCTCCAGAGTCCATGTTAAAGGTTAGGACTGTAATGATTTGAATGGAAATGTCATCGGAGGACTGCTTTGCATTTTGCATTTTCAAAACATGGGACTGTCTCCACAAGCTATTCCTGCTTCTGTAAATGCAACATGGGAACTTGGACTTTCACGTAATTGAAAACCTGAATCAAATACTGATTTTAGGGTGAAATGAACACTCACCGTCCAAAGAATGAGATATGGTTTGCTGGGAATATGGTCTGGGGACACAGCTGCCTAAACATTTGTTGTTCACGCTCTTTATCTCCTTTGCTAGTCTTAACCATGCCTAGGATAGTGATGAGTCCCAAGAAAGAACTGGGATAATTCACTTTTGAGGGTTAGAAATAGAAGTTGTCTTACAACTTAAGACTATTGGGCCATCTAGTTTCACATTATCTATGCTGACAAGCAAAGATTTCCATGGTTTCAGACAGAGGTCTTTCCAAGCCTTCCCCCAAAATGCCTGAGATTGAATCTCTTATATGGACAACCATGTGTAGCCCAGTATGTCTGGAAGTAATGGTGGGGATTTGGAAACGCTTTGATTGCATCATCAGCCCCAAATCTGGCGCATGGCAGATATCAGCATACCTCCAGATCCAGGGCTGACCACAGCAGTATAAACAACGAAGAGTCTTGGGGAAATTTTAAGACTAGTAAGTGGTTTTTGCCACTTCATGTTTTTCGAACTTTAGGGATCAGTAGCTCACAAATGAGCATTTGCTCTGGTTATGAAGTTCTTCTGTTCTCTGTGGCTTCCATGGTAGCATTTTTTTCTGGGCCCTTCAGAGTGGGGGAGTTTGTTGCTGGGACTCAGAATGTCAAGTCAATATAAGCACCTCGCAGTTTGGAGCTGCGTGGTTTGTAAAGATGAGGTAGTCCTCAGGCTTTGGAAGTCAAAAAGCAGCCACTCTGGTTAAGAGGGCAAGTGTGGTTTTGGGATCACCTGGGGAGACAGAGCATTGCTCAAAGAGAATGGCAAGATCACCATCATCATCTAAGAAATGTACTGCTGGAAGGGATCCTATGGATCATTAAGTCAAACCCCTATCAAGGATGTTTTAAGGTCAAGGGATAAGAGGGTGTTACATACAGCACTGATGTTAGGTTTGTTGTTCTGGCACAATGATAGTTCCCCTCTAAGCATATACCAGAGTGACTAGCAGGGATCTGGAGGCAACTAATTTAAGAGGTGCTCATTTTGCATACGTTGGTTTGTTGTTCTGGCACAGTGATAGTTCCCCTCTAAGCATATACTGTACCAGAGTGACTAGCAGGGCTCTGGAGGCAATTAATTTAAGAGGTGCTCATTTTGCATACGTTGTTTTCCTGTTGGGAGTTCACCATTCCTGTCCACCATTCCTATTATGACTGCCATGGGATTAAGGACATTCAGATAGATGGCAGGTGGACCTCCTGGAATTACAAGTGTTTTGCCATAGGATAGGTGACAATACGTATTGCTGTGTGGGCATAGCATTATTTTCTGAGTGGTTTGGTAAGCTTAAAAAATCAGCTTGGAAGTCCCAGCTGCACCTCGGCAGGTTGGCTTCCTTGCAGTGAAAGGACTGCCATGGTATTAGGTGAGAGGCTGTCTTAAGTTGTTGTCCCAGCCAAGTGAGGCCCTTGATGTGCTGATGATCCATCTCGGGGGGAAATGATCTGGGTCCTTGCTTTGGCAGCCATTAAGAACTTGAAGGACATTAAGCAGAGATGGCCATGGACACCTGCCAATTTGCTGGCCCTTCTCCTTAGGAGAGTTTGCAGAGTGAAAGGGGACCCAAGAGGCTTGGACAGAGCCAGGTCGAAGTTAATCATGAACGCCAAGCTGGCAAAGTTGGGGTCCTTCTTGTCCCATCTGCACATTTTGTTTGACCTTCCAGAACTTTATAGGTGCAATGGGGTCCATTTGTCAGACTAGGCAATGATATTTTTCCAGAGACCTTAGAGCTGCATTGTTTGATTGGTGGGGGCAAGGGGCATGGTTTAAGCCAACTTTCTTGCAGTAGTGCAGAGAAGGAAGTGTAGACTCTTCCAAGAGGTTGAGTCTTGTAGGTCATTGTGAGATGCATCAGCATTAAGCACCTCAGGTCTTGCAGTTCAGGGGCTGAGCTAGAGGACCAAACTGCGATATGACCTACCTAAGGTGGATAATGGCTTCAAGACACCATGCCAGCCAAGAACTGACAGTCAAGAGGCAAGAGACCTTTGGGACTTGGTAGCTCACCCTAGAAGGTCAGGAGAGATGGATGGGGAAGAAATCCCTGCTCCTGATCTAGGACACATATTATACAGGCCCCACTGCAGGGGGTGGGAAGCTTAAAGGTTAACATTTAGCAAATATGTGACTCAAGTTAATACTATCACCAGTGTCTCTCCTCTTTATTCAGCACCTTAGATAGGTCTTAATAGGCCTGGGATTAGAAGCTAAATATTCTTTCAACAAAGAGCAAATTTAGACTGAAACTTAAACCAGAGGTTCGACTTCTGGAGGTTTTTCAGCATCCTACTGCTAGAGATATTATCTTTTAAAGGACCCTGACTTGATTTATCAGCTCCTTCTCTCAAGAAGACAAATCCTTTTCTAAAGATGACACATGAGGATTCTGGACCCTGTAGTCGATAAGCAGAAAGGGAAGTCTGGATTACTAAGGCAAGTGGTTGAATCCTTATACAGTACAAAGACAATCCAGAATTCCAGGGTGAAGCGCTGTGTGGAACTTCAGCTCTTGGACATGTAAAGAGCTATTTTCATTCTTTATAACTTGCATGGCTGCAGCTTTACATGGAGAGAGTGAATACAGTTTGACTGTGCTTTGGAAAGATTTGAGTTTCTCTCTGACCCAGGCTCATAAGTGTGACATTCCCATGTTCCATTTTCAGGGACGAGACCGGCTTGAGAGCAGTCCCACATTTTTGATTTTTCAGAAACACTGGCCCTTAAATTTATCTGAGCCCAGACAGTGAACATTTCTACAATCTCTTCTAAAGTTTTATGATGTCTTCACAGTGGTATGGAATGAAATGAACAAGAATGTTAAAGAAAAACATCAATAGTTTACTTAAAAAAAAACATACACCCACCCCTTTTGTAAGCAAACTACATGTAGTATGAGACAGCGACCAGTAACATAACAGCAAGATGAAACATGCATAGTTTTTGCACGAAACTGAAGTACATTCTTACCAACCAAAGAGTTGTGATACAGGTGAGAAAGCCTTACCTTGCTGAAATCAACAGCACTGTTTTCTCTGCTCACATCATTTTTGGTTTCAGTGTTAGTTGGTGCAGACTGTGGGGAAACAATCTGACCTGCTGGAAAAAATTTGTTATTGCAGAATACTAGCCAACCTCTGTAGGAGATTTCAATAGAAGAGATGTTTAAATCAGAGTATCACATATGCTTCTTATTCTACGTATATGAAATTTGGGGGTCAAAATAACAAATAAATCAGAATTCATACCGGGTTCCCAAGGCAAACTGACTGTAGTTCTGCAAGGGTTTAAGGATTTATAACACAGTGCCCTCACCAAATCATAATTCCCAGGAGTCTTTAAAGTAGGTCACAATAATAAAACCAACAGAAAACCAATGGTCAGAATCCTGTTAGTATTCACGTAAGGTTTGTGCAATTTGCCATGGCTCGTTGCAGCTAACTGATAAAATGCCTTGGAGTGTCTCAGTCCTAATCATGTACCCATCTGTACTACTGAGATGCACCCTGACACTTTATCAATCAGAAGGAATTAGTTGAAGCATGTTATGTGAACATCAACAGGATTCTAGCCAATACAAATACGTGGAGTGTTGAGCTAGATGAATTTATGGTGTGAACAAATGTTATTTAAATTAAAATTTAAAGTAAAATTATATATTTTTTTCATCTAAAATATATCTAAGACAGAAAAACATCCAGTCTTTATTTCTAAGTGTGTGCATGTGCATGTGTGTTTGAAAAAGAGTCTCGCTATGGTAGAATAACCGTTAATAAAATTCTAGCAGATTATGCTAGAGACCCTGAAGATAAGGTGGTTGACTAGTTTAACAATGAAACATGTTGTGCTGGAAGAAACTGATGTGAAGACATGAATGAACATTTGAATTGGCCTAAAGGTCATGCAAGATAGGTTTGGAGTACACTACCTCTGGACCATCAAGGAGCTTAGAGAACCCAAAGGTTAGGAGATGAGGGAGGTACAGAGATGAGATGAGCCTGTTAGAGACAGATACAACAAAGATAGAGCAAAATAAAGAAATATGAAGATGGCTGGTACAACAGTAGTGACTAGATTACATACCGCTTACTCATGAGGACAAGAACATAGGGGGAAGGAACAGTTCACTATGAGATGAAAATGATCACGAGTTACATGACCTTTATTTCAAGACTATAGACTAGACAGCATTTCTCATGAGCAGGAATAAAACTGGAAAGGATGAATGCAGAACAAAAAAAATTCTAAAAATCAATAGATAAGACCTACTGCATTGAGAGAGGAATGAAAATCTATGTCCCAACTGATCACATATTGCAAGCATTTTTCTGCCCAAAATGGTCTTAAATGAAGGATAGGGCTGGCAAAGAATAAATCTGGCTCAGTAGACCCTGCCTATGAGCCTTAAAACTCACCTTATATATTCTGAGAAGAGCTTGAGCCATACATGATCTCCAGAAAACCTAGTAATTAATCTTAGTTACATGAGAATGAGTACCAGCTGGCATACTCCACAAACAGGCAGTGTTTCTGAACAGTGCCTACGGAGGTGGATGTGTGTAAAGTTTTAAGCTCATCTCAAGTTGTTATGTAGGCAAAAATCTCATTTATTTCACTGTTGTAAACTCTGGCTCAGCACTTTGTAGTGCAGGCTGAATGCCTATCAGTCATGTTGCTAACTGCTTTAATATCAGTAATGGGACTCTCCTATTCTTCTGGAAAGAAAAAGCAGACTACTAAATTTTCTAGGACACTACATCAAATAAAGAAAGAATGGATAAGAGAAGTAGACAGTATCCTCAGAGCTACTAAGACAAAAATAGTTGTGGATTTGAGAACAGGCAACATCATCCCCTAAACCAGTGTTACACATTGCATATTGGTGTTGAACAAAAGATATATTAGAGGACACACCATTCCAGTGAGGATGTCTCACAGCCTTTAAGAAGAATTTTAGTAATGCTTTTAGACTACTTTGTGGATGAAATTTGTTCCAGCACAGTTTACGACAGCCAAGGGCTTCCTGAGAGGGCAAATCATCATCAAGAATCTCACAGAGCTTATAAACTCATGCCTGAGTTGTTTCACTTCAGGCTGTGGGTACTGGCTCATGGGATTCCCAAGGCATTTCAAGGAGAAGGCTAGACAAGAATTCTTCTTCCAGCCCTCTAGTTTTCTACATGTAGGGATTCTCACCTGCCAGGAAAAAAATATCTCAGTCACGTGAGCCACCTATCCACTCTCTGAAGTTGTATAGCCCTACACAGATTCAGCAAGTCAGTGCAAAAAAAGAGACTTGTCAGCTAGTTGATAGGTAATAATAAAGTAAGCAAGGTACAAAGGCAGGGCTTTAAGATTAACTGAAGTCTAGAACCTTTTTAGTTCATTGCAAAAGTATCTCAAACTTCTTTTTATATTTGATGCTCTCTTAAGAAGAAGAAGCCAGAAGGCTTGTATTACATTCAGCACATTCAAAGTCAGCTCAGTAAATGTAGTAAATCATCACATCTCCATCATCTCTCTGATTTCCCACTGAATGCCCAAAGAATTCCCTGAGAAGCATGAAAAAATGTTTATAACACAGGAAACATTTGGACTTGCCCAGTAGGTATATGGAATAAAAGTATTTTAGGTTCAGCTATATGATCTCACTTTAATATACTAAAGCCTCGGGCTCTGAACAATTTACCTGGAGTATAACCATTTATTTTAGCCTTACTGAAGGCCTTCATGACACAAAGACATAATGATTTATTTATAATATAGAATCTTTTGCTTAAGTCTCTTACGGACAGGACAAATGGCCTAGATCTGATCTGAATTCACGTTATCCTTTTCTACCCACATCCCAAAAACTAACTGAGCCAGTTCTTAATATCTTAGAAGGTGTCATAACAGTAGTCACACCTACAGAACATTGTTTAAAATATACACATATTACTTTTTTTAAAAGAATTCCTCCCCAACTTCATCCCAAACACAAAGTGGCTTATGGTTAAAATCACTAAAGATCAATAAATGTGAGATTCATTTAATCAATAAACTCAAATGTGAGCATTTACAGCACATATCTCAAATCACCATTAAAAAAAAACAAACAGAACCGGAGAAACCAATTAAACTACAGCATATTCCAGAACACCTAGTAAAATCAGGAGCACTGTTTAATTCTCTTCTGAATGATTGTAGGGGAGCTCAGCAAACTGGAAGATTTCAGGAGGAGGAATAGGGAACATTTGGCCTCTGTATGTTTTGGACTACACCTCCTACATTAGCTAATTTAATTAGCTAACCATTGGTCTTGGCGGCTGAGGCTTATAGGAGTTGAAGTTTAAAACATATAGGAGTGGGCAATGTTCCCAACACTTCATTATACAAACATACCCCAGAGAGTCCAGATGGCCACCATTACCTTCGAAATGTAGAAGAAGAAAAATTGGGGCTTCAGAAGTCCCCTTCTACCTTCTAATGCTTTGGCCATGTTTTGAGAGTTTCCATAGGAAGAGGCAAAAGAAGTGGGATATAGTCTCTTTTGACATGTTTCATAGACACTGACAGTAGTAATTAGTAAAGTAACAGGATACTTTACCATTTTTGTCCATGGAATGAGGTTCAGACTGCTTTTTGCCAATGTCAGCAAAGGACCTAACTATTGGGATCCTATTGCTCAGTTTCTTCTGGTTCTGATGGTGGTGCTGCTTCAGCAGAGCTTCATGTACCCTATGCCGAACGTCTTCACTAAGCTGTCCAGAGCCTACTTGTTGATCCAGAATCATGTCTGAAAAGATAAAGCATAACAATCAAACTACATAAGGAATTGAGATAGCCCAGTGGTAACAAAATCAAGAATTACCCCACATTAGATGAATTCCCATACCCAGCGTAGTGTAGTGGATAAAGTGACAGACTAGGACTCAAGAGTCCAGGCTTCGGATTCCTAATCAGCCATAGAAATTCACTGGGGGAGTGGAACTGATAAAACCACTCCTTAAATATCTCACTTACCTTGAAAACCCTATTAGGGCTCAGTTCCAATTTGACAGCATATAACTAACTAGATGTTCATATACTCAAGAAATACTGTATGTCCATATGTGATTTCACCAGTGAACTGGCAAATGAGATTCCTGTGATACTAATTTATATAGCACCTTACACACACACACACACACACACACACACACACACACACACCATACAAACATTATAGAGACAGACAGTTAAGTCATAGCTTGCTGGGGGGGGTAGTGCAGTCAGAGGCTGACTTACTATTACATGACCTTCTTCAGATCAGTGGTTCCCAACCTCAGAGCCCCAGTTGCTGCTGAGCTGCCACTCCTGGAACTCCGGAGTCCCACTGAGTGGGACTTCTCAGCCTTGCTATCCAATAACATCTGAGGGCCCAAGGTTGGGAACCACTGCATCACACAACATCAAGATTTGTCCCCACCTCTAATCAATGAGAATGTTGCCTGTCAAATATCAACCATTACACATACATTAGATGACTCCTAACAGCTCACCCGTAGGCTGGAAATGTCACTGTCCCATGGAAAGTAAATCAACTCACAAAAGCATTGATTTTAAAGTTCCTCTAAAGATGACATTCACAAATTCAGAAACAGCTCATTTTATGGGAATCTCTCCACACCGCTTAAGGCACTGGCTGACTCACAAACAAGTTTGCATTTGGAAGAATAATAACATTTTGGAATCACTTGCTGAATGGGGTCAGAATCCTTTATCTTACTTGCTAATTTAGACTCGTATTTTACCAGCATAAGGGTTGTCATACTCTATACAGACATACAGATAACTCGCAAGTCCATGATTCATATAAATAATAATTATGAGCAATCAGACTGAAATATTATATATCAGAAAGATAACCAGTTTGAATATGAGTTTGATTTTGTCACTGTTGTGACCCATAAACCATACACAAAGGCATTAATTTCCACCACTGTCCCCCTCTACACAAAAGTACAGATTTACCTAGGACATCCTATTTCCATTTCAAATGTAACACGTACAGTACAACATATTAACATGAGGTGAAAGCAACATTCAGGTTTCACCACAGCCCAAATGAAAAAGGTCAGAGCCATTGTGGCACAATGGGTAGAGTGTTAGGAAACTCATGAGTGTGTGTGGTGGCAAAGGTAAAACTACTGCCTGAATCTCTCATATACATTGAAAACCCCAATATTCACTATATGCTGAAAATGGCTTGAGAATATATAGCAGAAGAAATAAAGAAGTACTGGAATACATCTGAATCCAAAGTTGGGCAACATATACAGTAGTACCCCCTTACCTCCAATATCAGTATCCACTGATTCACTTATCCACAATCTGAAAATATTAAAAATATTAAAAGAATAAAATCCAGGGGAAAAAACTATTTTACTTGTATTACCAGAAATGGACACTAGAGAGAGCCAGAGATCATATTAAGTATACAGTACTTATTACTGAAGAATACATAGCATGGTCTGTGCCACCCTCTAGTGGCCAGTTCTGGTAATGCATATGAAAATATGGATTTTTTTCCTTGTTTTTTCCCTTTTACCATGCTCTCTCCCTCTCCCCCCTCTATATAGAGAGAGTTCACTATTATCCACGGTTTTCACTATCCATGGGGGAGGACTTGGAACCAATCCCCAGAGGATATAGAGGTTCTACTGTATATCAAATCACTAATGTAAATAAAATGACTTTGGCAACTTTGCAGCGATACAATAATAATATTCCCCAAACATAGACTTCATTTCTATGAATGGATCCCACGGCTATTCTTCTGGATTTGGAATGTGTCTGAAAACTGTTCAGGTGCTGATGAACCATTGCAAGGGTGTTTTCATTGTTCTGAAAGCAAAGCTGCACATTTGCGGAAACTAATCTCCAAGCTGCTACAGAGCAACAGGAAAAAAGGCAAAATGTGGAGCACAGAAGTGGTGGGTGGGAAACAGAGACATAAACTTTTCTCAAAATTTTCCTCAGATAATAGATTTCACCATACACTTCATATCTGTCACAAAGTGGCTGTGGGGAAGGGCTGCAAAGGAAAACCATCAGACAGGAGAAGGATTAAACACCCTCTTGTTCCACTTTGGATTGTATCATCATCATAGCATTTCACAGAGCCACTGTTAGTCAGAAATGACTTGATGACACACAACAACAATGACAGCATCTTTTCTCCTTGGGTCCAGGCATTGATTCTCAGATCCCAGACCACCCCCTCCACTCCATCAAATGCACAGATGATAAACAGGAGAAGCAGCTATATCACATTCTTGCTCAGATGTGTTTTATTTGCCATGTAAATATAAAACCTTCCCCCTGCCTAGGATGATCATTTGCAATGTGTCACTTCTGGTATATGTTTTATATCATCCCTTGCTTGAAAAAAAGAACTCTGGAGAGCTCAACATTTTCAGTGAATCAGTAAAAGTCTTGTTCAACCTCAGTCTTTGGTACAAAATTCAGAATGGGAAAAGGACAGACAGACAGATAGACTAATCTCATTTTCGACAACTGTTCTTTTTCACAATGTGATGGGGTTTTGAAGGGCAGGCCCAAGACACCTTTCCCACCCAGGTGGAACAGCAATCGGCACCCACACCCCCAAAGTCCAACTGCATAGTAGCAGAGACTAGTCCATTTATTTTGGGCCCTGACATGAGAAAAATCTCACAAACACTTCTCCCTCATCCTAGTCCTCTAAAAAATAAAAATAACAGTAATATCAAACTGACTGCTTAAAATGTGCTGCTTTTTGTTTCTGACACTCAAAAATCTGCCTTCAGTCAGCTGCTTCAACCTGCATAATAGCAGGGACAGCCCATGAGTTTTGTGTCAAGGAAGAAGGATCCATAATTTAGTGTGATAGAATCTGTGGGGTGGGGTGGAAAGGGAAGGCTAAGGGCAAATGTTACTTTAAGACTGGGATAACATTCATATTGTTAAACTTTTAGAAATAAAAACTGAAAGAAAAGGGATCTCCCTAGTAGATTTAAAACCAAAGCAAGTGAATCGGCGTTAATTGTGCAGTAAGTGCCTTTGCCTTTTCAGTAGAGAGAACACTGCCACACAGAACCTCTGACACATCTCCTGTGAGTCATGAATTCTTTGGTTCAGCATATTCAGGCAGCTCAGGAGCCTCTTCTCTGAGCAACCCCACATTTCTCAGTAAGCTCAGTCATGAAAGAAGAACAGCACACAGATGTCAAAAGCAGACAGGATTAGTCAAGATTTTGAGAACTGTCATAATTAAGGGAACGAGTTTTTCCCGTATTTTTTAAAAAGATAGCATAAAAGGCATAGTTTTGAGTTCATTACCTTTAACGACAAACAGCTTGTCACATAAGGATATGACAGTAGCTCTCTTCATGTATTAATTTCACAAAGAAAATCCACATGATTAAATACTAGGAAAGCTCTACTCTCCTTTCCCTGTATCTAAGCACAGAGCATGGATGACTTCAGAAAGACCCCTTGCACATAGCTTCCAGAGAAGCCACAATCCTATAGGGCTCCATGCCTTAAACAAGTCTACCAATATAGGTGTTCCATACGAAAAAGTTGTATGTGCTGTAGGAGGCAGGATCCGGAACTATGTTGCAGAGTTTGAATTTCTACAGTAGTACACTGATCCACAGAGAATAGCTTCAGGTTTCCTAGAGTCCACACCTTTTGCATTAATTGGCACTTGAAGTCTCAATAACTCAATGTGAGACATTTGTAGGAGAAAGAACAGAAGACATTTCTTTACTTACAGCTCCTTGAAATTACATACTTGTATATATACTGCTTTTGTTACTGCACACATACTAGTAACCAACCAAACAGATCAACAGCAACAAAAAACTGCTACCAACCAATGGAAGAGAGAGACAGAACACTCAGCAAAGAGGTGAGGCTCTCCCTGAATTTTTAAAGCTGGAAGAAATGATTGGTTAGTGCTGGATAAATAATCACCCTAGTCCAGAAAAGTCCCTCCCAGTCACTCAAACTACACATACCTTGCAAGATTGCAAACAAAACTCCAACAAATTGAGCCACTAGAATTTAAGAACTTCATATGCAGAAAGAGGCCACATTATTCATATCTAGCATAACAATGCATTCTTCACCATAGGCACTCCAACATAACTGAAAAGGCCACACACAAGGCACTCAAGGAAAATCTTTCCATTATCATTTGGAGCTTACACCTGATGTCCAAGTACATAACCACAGACACACCCACACCCATTTTAGCTCTCTCAACTAAAATGTTGATCTAGTAACATGTTTAGCCTAGTACTAAACACACACCTTAGCATAGTGAAAGAGCCTGAACTTGTCGGCAAACTGTAAGCGATACCACAAAGAGGGTGTGAATGGGTTTGGTTGAAGGTGGAGGCAGTTCCTCTCTTTGAACGGGAAATAACCATGAAGAGTCGTTTGAAACGTTAACAGTTTTATTACATTTAACTTGGGGAGATTCAACAACTACTTCTATTGGTTTGAAGCAACTCAGTTCAGGTAATTGTCCATAAGAACTAGGCAACATTCCAAAGGTAGAACTGTCCAATTTCATTGCTGGCCCAAAGCGTTCTCTGTCAGTTGGTTTCCTCAACGGGGCGCTCCTCATGGTGCAGATTGTGCCACAACACGGGTGGCGTGCCCAGTCTCCCTCGGTCGGCCGTTGATTGAAGGAGGTGTCCAGCCAGATCACCCTCCTCCAATGACCCTGTCCCCTCGAGAAAACTACCACAGTCCATTCCAAAG